TTAAAAAACAAAAATTATTTTAATATTTTAATGTAAATAAAACTAAATTCTATGATGTTGTCAAATGTAACAGAAAAGAGTGTCTTGTTTCTTTTTTGTTTTGTTCATGTTTTTTATAGAGAGACAAATTTGTTGAATCTGTTAAACATTTAATTCAGGTAAATGTTCTTCTCTGTTTCTACAATGCAGAAAATTTGCTATGCCAGGTAAAATGAATTGTTATTTTTAACATCTTTAGAAAAGAAACAATTCCAAAAATGCCAGTTTGCATAAATCTCATACTGAGTTTAAACTCAGTTTAATTTTAGAACCTAATTTCAATAAAAGAAACTTTTGTTTGTATTTTTACAGACAAATATACAAAGACAAAAATCAACTGAGACTGGCAGGGGGCAAAAGAAAAGAAAGTGAAATTGGCTTTAAACATTAACAATCAAGAAAAATGTTGAAAATAAATACTGAAAAATATGTGTATCTTGTAAGTCATACAATCTATGAATTAAATATATCTTGTCATTTATTAAGATCAAATAAAGAAAGGTGTGAGAAGGAAAATGACAAAATGTGTAAGAGGTAACAGAAAAACAAAGAGACATTTGAGAGGAAACAGAAAAATGAAGAGACATTGGAGAAGAAACAGAAAAACAAGAGACATTCAAGTGGAAACAGAAAAACAAAGAAACATTTGAGCGGAAACAGAAAAACAATGAAACATTTCAGAGGAAACAGATAAAACAAAGAGGCATTTAAGAGGAAGAAGAATAAGAAATGTGTAAAAGAAAGAAAAATGCTTGAGAGTGTTTAAACATTTTTTAAATAATTCACATTAGCTGAAAATCATTTGATTTCACAGCGCTAGATATCAGTTAATACTAAAATTATAAAAAATGACTGGACTTTAAAATCACTTTTAAAACTTGTAGAAATTAGTCTTGCAATAAAAATATGAATTACAGTTTCAATGGAAAACTAAAGTTTTTACAAATTACCTTTACACCTTTTTATCAACATGACTAATTTAAAGTACTCTACAAGAAAAAACAGTTAAAAAATAATGCATCTGAAAACTTCCAAAGTTCCTGATAATAAAAAGGCTGAATATTAGATTGTATGTAATTCATCAATGTTTAGTGAGGCATGGAACAAAGGAGAGAATATAAAAGTAAAGTCAAGGTTTGTTGAGGATGGTTAAGTAAATGTGATCAATGAGGAATTCACTGAGAAAAAAAGGCCAGCAAAAATGAATTCTCAAAGAAATGAAGGAAAAAAATGAATATTTCATTGAATACAATACAATGTTGATTATATATTTTTCATTTGAAAATATTTGCTATTATTTTTGGAACTGAGAAAAGTAAAGTAAAAGTTGTGCTGCAACCAACAAAAGCTAATATGTGAAATATACAAAGAAAAGAATGCAGATGATAAAGTATTTAATAACATGCTATGAAACTGTAAAAGATGTTTGCAGTCCAAAGTTTCTCTGAGGAAATATTTCATCTAAAAAAAAAAAAAAAAAAACATCAACCACCAAACAAAAATAATTTACTTTTTTCATTATTTGCCCTTTTTTCTTTTTTAACTATTTCAATAATTAACAAAAACTAAATGAAAATATTTCTTTCTGGTTTGGTGGATTAGTTTCCATATCTTGGTGTTGAAAATGTAAAAAAATTGTTATACAGCAGCACACATAGGATAAAATTGGAAATCATTTCTCCTTGAGAATCATGCAATAATAATCTACAAAACCAAACATGAACAAAGATTTTAGAAGCTATCTGCATTAAGTAAAGACAACAAACAATTAACTGACTTAGGATTCTGGAATGATCCTTTTAGAAATAATTCCCAGAATCCGCATTTATGCCATAGTCATGTTACATCACCGAATTCCAAAGAGTCAAAAAACATCATCACACTCACATGACAACACAGATATTTAAAAATCAAAATTATTCCAAAGATGCATATGACCCCACAGACTTTGAACTTCATTAAATTTCTTTTTTTCTTAATAACTGAAGCCAATAAAAAGCTAAGAAATTTAATATGAAAAATTATAAAACAGTTCATTTACAACTTCAATACCAAAATATGGAAACTTATTGAACAACAAGAAAAATATAATAGACATTACTTATCTTTTATCTTTGAATGAATATTTCCTACCAGCTGCCTATATACATATACTCTCTCTCAAGATATATATATATATATATTAAGGAATATACAAAATATCTTACATTGATTGCACAACTCTGAGTTTCATGGCAAAACAATTATATAGTGCCGGTATTCTTGGTTATATATATATATATATATATATATATATATATATATATATATATATATATATATATTACCAGTTTGTGACTGGTAGGGATAAATACAAGGACACACACACACACACATATACACAGGGTGCAATGGATAAATTGTCATCTAAATTACTCAAAAATGAAAATAACACTAACATCTCATTTTAACAGATATATTTACTAAAATTACACAAAAATATCTTGAAATACTAAAGAGTAAATTTGTGGCATGGTGCAGAGTCTGGTTGCCATACACAAGGTCTCTCAGCAGCCACCCTCTTGACTAACTCCTCAAGGCACTTGATGTAGGCCTATGTGTTAAGTCTGAAGCCCAGTGGGAAGATGAATGGAGGCATAACATCACCATCACTAGTGATCATGCCAAACGCCTTTGTAATCCTCATTAGCCTCATTCAACACTTTCTGAATCCTCTGCACTGTCCTCAAATTGAGACCCAAACACTTTGAAATGAAACACATTATGAAACATTAGTAAGCAGAGCATTTACTTAAATATTTGTATCCATAAAAAGAATGTATAAACATAAAAATGTCTTTAAATAATTGTCGGACTTTGCCCATTTCATAATGTGTGACGTCATTTGTTTACATTTGGATATGTATTGAGATATGAATGTACATGAGAGATTCATGGAAGATTGTAGTTTAAAAGCAATAATATCAACCTTGCTAATCGAATGATCCTCCATGTCTCGATCGGTTAAGGCAAATCAGTCTATATGATGGTTCTGTAGAGGATACAGGTTCAATTCCTGGCACAGGACAAATATTTTCCATGTAAATTTCTCAGACATTCAGGCTGGTAAATGTTATTAATACTGTTTATTATAAATATAGATATACATATATATATATATATACACACACACACACACACACGTGTGTGTGTGTGTGTGTGTGTGTGTGTGTGTGTGTGTGTGTGTGTGTGTGTGTGTGTGTGCAACAAAACATATCCTCACACAATAAACTCCCAGCATATATTTTATTTGTTTGCTTCTAACCAATCGAGTACAGACATTAAATTATATACTCTGGTTTAGTGGAAGAAATGAAGAAGGGACACAAAAATAAATAAACTGGAGAGAGAATTAACTCATACAAGTTACCTCCCCAAAGCATGGGAAAAGCAATGAGGACAATCTACCCTCATGAATTGAATAAAGTGTTTGGTTCTGTATTCTAAGAATGTTACCAAATGCAACAGGAAGAACCAAAACACATTGAGAATTGACAATGAAAATGAATGTAGTAGTCTGAACAAAGAGGCAAATAATAATAGTCAACTATAATCATCTCAAAAAAATGTTTTTGAAACGGAAATATCTAAAAATAAAAAATAAATGCCTTGAGAATTTTTACTCTAAAAAATAATTACTACATTTGACAATACATTTATAAAAGATGTACTCATTTTATAAGGGCAAAAAATTGTTTTCATATATTTTACCATACATATTGTATTAGTGATCAGCCTATCTATAATACCAGCCTAATGGATGAATTGTAATATTAGGAAAATATATAAGCCAATAAATGTTCTGTACACAAGCATGAAATTCATTTTAGTTTAATAAAAATCTTCACTAAATATTAAATAAGTTTTGCTCAGTAAATCACTTGGAGCTTTGCCATACCTGTCATAATTACTTTCAGAAAAAATTCTTGAAATATTTCATTGATATTTGTTTTGAATATGAGTAATGTTAAATAAAGTATATATGGTTTATAGAACAACAAAACTATTGAAAAGAGAAATCACTGATGGATTTTTGTAGTTCAATAATATAACTTGGATTATTTTGTTTGACTGAATAAAGAAACTTTCAGTTAGTTGGAAGATATTAACAACTTGGTTCAAATGAGCTGAAGTTTGAAAACAAAATAAAAGTGTGTATTTTGATTGGAACTCATTAAAACTGGCAAAAATTTCTACATGTACCTTTTTTTCAGTACAAAAATGTGGGAACCAATAAGAACAATTGCCTTCCTCTAGTCCTAATCAGTGAGGAATTATAGTTGAGTGGATCAAAGAATACATTCATATTGTCTTTATTTATTGAATTCATTCCCAGCCACAAACAAAAGTGGTGGAACTGTTCAAGTTCCTTTTTGTTTTAACTTACAAAGATTTCTAGTTAATTTGAAGCTTTAGTCTGCTGTTCAAAAAAACAATTCAAAACCAAAAATTAATGTCAAAGTGTTAAGAAAATTATTTTTTTTTTCTTGGAAGCTAAATGTTGACATTTTTCTCTGTGGGCCACAGAGAGTTTTTTTCTTGCCATGCAATGGAAGCAAAAAAGATTTTGTTCATGCTATATTCATAAACCATAAAGAAAATGACAAAAACAATAAAAAAACATTGCATGCTCGAGACATCACATATTGATATTAAAACTGAAAGGGTAATTTGAATTTATTTTCAATGATTTAAGAGAGGAACATCTGATTTAAAATAAGTTTTAAAACACACACAATGCCTTAGAGATGCTCATTCAATGCAATTGGAGGTGACATGCCCAAATTTAAAACATGACAAATCGACAAAACACCCTACAATGTTTACAGTCAACTGGTGGAAGTGGGGAGGGGAAATATAAAAGTGAATCCAAAAAGGGATCATTGGACAAGTGGTCCAGAGGGTGAATTCAGTGGAACATTCTACCCACCTTTTCCTCCTTTTATACTGCAAGTTTTTGTCACTGTCTTTGTCGCTTCACATACTGCAGGGTCACCTTTGTCCAATTTCCCTGTTTTACTACGCATATTGCTGGTTGGATTACATGAGCTCCAGTCTCCATAGGAATATTTGCAGTCTACAAGTGTTGAAAAGACATGAATCTTTGACTATGTATCCCAAGATGAGCTATCATCTGACTCCTGACCATTCCATCCTGACCATATCTTCATCCTCCCCACCTCAACAGTCACAGTCCTAACCAGTTCTTAGCATTTCAAAGAGCCTTCCAGATGTTTTAACACCATCAAAATATTTCATCAGCAAATGGAAAAAAGATTTTCATGAGTAGTAGGGAGAACAGTTTATATGACTTTCGATTTGCAGTTTTTCTTGCATGGATATTTGTCTAAAGATACTAAATTCATAAAAAGATAAAGATGTCTGATCATGCATTGAACAGATAGACCCAAAGAGGTTAAGAAATATTTTACAAAAATATGATAAATGTATATAAATATCCAACTCAAAATCATTAAACTTGGAATGCTATTTGGCTTAATAAATTCTCAATGTAAACCAATGTTTTTTGATTTCTGATAGAAACTAAAATGCATTTGAAATAAGAATCCAATTTCATTTATTGAAAGGTGAATTCAAACTTAATTCTGATTCACAGTCTGTTACAAGTGACTGGTTTATAAAATTACAATTTAAAAAATACACTTTTAGATATTTGACATTTATTTGACCTTGATAGAAAAGTTCCATTTGTTTCCTAAAGATATTTTGCACCAATAAAATTGCAATTCAGAATTAATCTGTAGTCACATGCAAATAGAATTGCTATTCTCAATCCATATTTTTTGCAAGTTTTTCCAAGTTCTAAGATATTTTCCAATTATTTCATACACTTTTCAAATTATTTTTTTCTTTTTCTCATCTTTGCCATTCTTTGATATATTTTAACAGACATTTTTCAGTCTTCCTTGAGTGTTTGTTGTATCTGTTGATCTTTATAAACTGCAAGTACTTTTCTGCCATTTTGTTCAGAACTTCATTCTATAACTTTATTCAACATTCAAGGTGGGGAGGAACTTATTAAAGTGTAATTTATGACCAAGGAAGACATGAAAATGAATTGACCAAAATATCACATAAGAAACGAAGATAAAAACAATTCTAAACAAAGCAAGATTGATACATCTGCAAGTTTTTCTCTTTTAGTTTAAGAAAATAATTACAAATAATTAAAGAATAATTACAAATCAAACTTGAAAAGAAAATTTGAAAATTATCAACAAATATAAAAAAAGTTGCAAGTAATTAAAAAATAAACTCAAAAGAAAAACAGAAAATATGAAATCTTCTTTTAATCTGAGACAATGTGTGCATTTAGTCTCAATCTACTTTGGGGACTGAAATAGAGGCACAAAATTAGATGATAAACAATTTTCAAGCATACAGCCATCTTCCACTTGCTTTGTGCTGTATTCAGCTTTAGTAAAACCAAGAAACGTAAGGCACACTTCCCATTCTTCTCCAAGTGCCAGAAAATATAAGATGCCAAAAATGAACAGTTTGAATTCATGTCTGTTCCAATGCTTATTTGTAAATGATAAATGACACCTTACAAGGATAGAACCTGTTTCACTAGATCTCCAAATACAAGGAATCCCATACATTTGGGAATATTAATCTCCCAATATGTCCAAAGAAGGTTTAAAAACGATGTGAGAGAACGAGATTGAAGAATGTTATAAGGAGCAGAGCAAAAAACAACCACAAAATACGAAAACTATGGAAAATCAAGGAGAAGAAGAAGAAAAAGAAGAAGAGTCTGTCTAAGTTATTCACTAGTTTTATCTTTAAATATTTGAAGTCAGCTAAAGGTTTTATATGCAACATTCCACAGATGAAGCCTAAAAAGCAAAAAGAGTCGGCAACAATTGTGTAAACTGTTTAATAAGGCAAGCCACTATGAAAATACTTTGAGCAGAAGAACAACAAAAAAAACTGATCCATGCAATTATTAATTCATTAGAATTGTTTTTAATCTGATCTGACTACAAATTTCAAACAGTTTTCAACGTTTTTGACAGTTTAAACAATTTTTCTCTTGGAATATAAAAACAAAAATCACAAAATTTAACAAAAATAAAATGTGAAATTATTTAAATTTTCATATCTTCCCAATTTTATGTTCCCATTTTACCAATTTTTCTCTTTGTTTCAGTTTGATATTTTACAAGAACATTTTGATAAATAACAGTAGAAAATTGAGTCTTTGAAACAAAAATTTGTCAAATTTTCTTTATAAAGATTTTTCTAAAAAAATGTTTCCTAATTTAGAAATCATTGATAAATCTTTTTTCATTCTTAAAATATTATTAATATTCTAATTAGATTAAACCAGTTGTTTGCTTGAATGTTCCAATTCTACCTCTAACATCATTTAAACACTTCTTTACATTTTTACTTCTTCAAAATGAGTAAATGATCTTATTTTAAAAGTTCCTGGAAATACAAAATCAGTTAGAAAAGAAAAATTCCTAATTCATGTTAGTAAATTTTCTTTCTTTTTTTTTTGCTTCCCCCCTCGAAATGTAAAAAAGAAAAAAAACTCACCCTTATTTTCTCCTTTGCATTCACGGGTTTGGGGTTTAGTGGCAGGACAAGAGGCATCACTTCCATCTTTCAAGGTCAAGGTTCTTTGTTTGGTCTTTGTGTTGGGATCACACTCAGACCAATCGCCCTTGTCGTACTGACAGACTAGGCGTCCCAAAAAAAAAAAAATTGCTTTCTCAATGTCAATGTCATTTTTTATTCAAAATATATAATGTATAAATGGACAACTATAAAGAGACTGCATTATTAATTCTTCAAGAATGCAATAAATATGTTTTGTCATTTCTAACTTGCAGTTGAGATTTAAATACTTTTTTTTAACAAAAACCACATGCAATATGATCATAGCAATAAAATAATCTAGTGAGAAGGAAAAAGCTAAAACAAAAAATACTTATTAAATACTTACCTCTCTTACAAGATTTGGTAATGATCTTCTCCTTCTCACAACTATTTGGATCACCTTTCCTCAGGGTCAAAGTACGAGTCTTTTGATTGGTTGTAGGATCGCAGTTTGACCAATCACCACGTGAGTATTTACAGACTAAATAAATAAAAAGAATAATGAATTTTTTTTTTTTTTACATTAAAAAGAAGAAAATTATTTCATGGCCATATACTGATTTTTTTTAAAGGATGGTTGCCTCTGAAATATTGTGCCAAAATTTCTTGGCTTACACCTTAGCAATCTGCAAAGTAAGAGTTAATGAGAAAAATTAATCATATTCATCAATAAAACATTATTAGCATTTTCTTTTCAGTTTCCCTAAGGCAAAAAAGAGTGATTGCAATTTGGCAAAGAATGTTAACCTTTGTTTTGAATACATTCTTCCATCTTTTCAAAACTTACTGCAGCTTTTGAAATTAAATATTCATTTCCTTTCAAAATGAAACAACACAAATTTCCTCAATTATAATTCCAAAGATGATAGACAGACTAAAAGACATCTAAAAATTTTAAAATCAATAAATTTGAAACCTGATGACAAGCAAAATATTTTCATAAATGAGAAATTAATTCAATTTTAAATGGATTGTATTAAAACAAGATAAACAAACTCAAAGATTTGGTTATGTAGAGACAGCATGAAAGTTTATACAAATCAAAAAGTTGTTTTGCCTAATTTAATTGTTCCACAAATTCCAGCTGCTTCTCTCAATACTTTTTCACCTCAAGTTTCATAATTTTTCTGAGAAAGTTTTTCAAAAGATTTTAGTGGCATATAAATTTTAATTATTTGAAAATGAAAATTGACAAACCTTATTTAAAGAGATTTAAAGTTGAATGTAAAAAGCAGACTGATCGATAAAAAGAAGTGAAAAACCTGATCAAAATAAACATTTTTCATATTTCCAATAAATTTTTGCCAAACTTGTTGAAATCAAGCCAATATGCAACCAACCAAAAACTTGATGTAATATTCAAATGATTTTTTCTAATAAATGTAGTATTATTTAGTGAAAGTAGTTAATACCATTAAGAAAAGTAACTCTTGCTAACCTGCTCTACCCAAATCTGTTTTTTCCCCCCAAGTGGCTTGGTGTGTCTATAAAGACGATTATCTTAGTCATTCCTATGTCATCTATCTTTTCTTTTTTGCAAGATTTTGCTTCATATTAAAGAAACAACCTTTTTGTTGTCATTCAGTGAATTAAAGAAATGCTTTCTTCCATACAAATATTAAATGAAAGCATATCAATTTGTGAGTAATCTTTATTTTTGTGTTTCGGTAAAAAGATTTGTTAATTATTAAATGAAAAATTGACATAATAGCAGATAGACTAAAGGAGAAACAGGGTAATCAATAAGTAAGTAGTCTTCAATAAGAAGACATCAAGAGATATTCCTAGAGAAGGACAGCAGAATATGAAAAATCAACCCATGTAGATTAAATAAAGAGTTCAGTTCAAAATTCCCTGGTGGTTACCTAGATCAACAAACACCTGAAGAAGACTGGGGAGGGGATATAACAGCCAAAATATAGTGATAATAACAACAAAGGTGAGGACTTTACTCTGAATGTAAATTTTAAAAATCCATATGAGTAAAAATTCACATAACAATCAAGAAAGGAAAGGAAATGTCAGAAAATAAAAGTTGACAATCCATTGAATTCTAGGAAGAAAGCTTTTTCAAAGCTTTTTCATCTTACCAAATTCTAAGTCCAAAGTAAAGTGTCATTCAATAAAGTAAAAGTTCTTCTTTATTTTGCTTCTGTTTGTAATTACCATTAATATATCCAATAGGACCTTGCATGAGCTTCTGTATTTTGATAGAAATATTCAATCCTCAAAAAGTCTGTTATGACAATTTAAAAAGTAGGATTGTTACTTAAAACATACAGAACACACTAAATAATGCAAATGTCATCTGGCAATTGGCGCATTCCAACTGAACAATTCTACAACAGAAAAACTGCATGTAACCAATATAAAGTGTTAGGACTCATGCCTTCAAAAAAAGAGGCAAATATATTTCTGGAATTCATCTTGTCAAGAATTGCCACCCATACAAGCCGAAGGCTTATAGCCACATGTTGAAACACCGATTCCTATATGACCACTGACATTAAGCAACATCAAGCCTGGTTACTACCTATAGAATTGACTATTTGAGAATACCAGGAGCTGTAAGCTTTGATGTGCAGTTGTTATGATGGCTATTAGCTTGGAATTGTTAATTGGAGAGCAGAGTTCCAGTTTTCATTAGATTCGTTATATTCACTTAAGTGCAAATATCCTTGTGAAAGGTATGAATCCACCTCTTCTCCCCCCAGTTATGGGTTAATTAGTAAGATTCATATCACTAAACCATTATTATCTAATAAAAAAATTCTCACAAAAATATTTTCTAGTTTTAAATAACCTGAAAAGTGTTGATAAACCATAGAATACAAATCAATTATAAAAATATACAAGTAGAAATTATATTGTCATGATAATTATTTTTATTTCCAAAAAACATTTGCATTGAAAGAATGTCATTAGTAGAAGAAAGAATTTCACTGGCAATAACACAATATCCACCTCAAACAACAACACTTTAAATATAACATCTCGCAATGAGGATGCAATATGAGTTAACTGGCTGTTTATTGAAGAACTGAGTAAGTTAGCCACAAATCTCAAAGCATGTACTCCAATAAACACACACCTACACCAACCTCAAAAAAATAATCAAGATGAAGGAAATAATTTTCACATTTTTTTAAAAGAAATTTGTTATTTAAACAAGTGAGTTGAACAAGAAAATAACTAATTTGCTGAAATTTAAATTCTAAAGTAAAGGATTTCATTATTTTTATTTAGGTACTCGTTTTTAGTCATTTTTTTTGTTATTATATTTTATATGTACAATTTTAACCAATTTATTCTTTGGCTATTAAACTCTAAATTCTCAAATTTCAACATTTGAAGAATTAATTGGGCAAAATAATTGAAATAAGAAAAAGGAAAAAGTCACAACTAATAAGAAAAAAAAAAGTTTCTTTCTGCCAATAGACAATTCCACATTCACTTCTTTAGTTTCTTTGTTTTGATATTTGAGGATTTTTAATTTATAACCTAAATTGTTTTTTTTTAATCCCAAATCAATAAAAACAAAGTCACTTTTCTTCACTGACTTTGAATATGTAAGAAAAGTTGCTAGAATGCAAGGAAATTAATGAATTTCCCATTAAGATCATGTGGCCATTGCATAACCCAAAGATTAATGAACAACTGCGAATTTAGATAAAAATCACAATAACAAGTTTCATGGTTGTGTGAACATACAGATTGATTTCTAAGGAAAATTCAGCAAATTTCCATATCAAGAACTGTTGATCAGACATTAGATTACGTCACTTAGCGTCCTTCATAATTTGCCTAGACTTTTCAGTTAGCCTAATGAAAAGCAACATAAAATTTAATTATAATGGAAATGATATTAATAATGGTCATTTTTGGGGGGGGCATTTTACTGTTGCAGGATCACATACATGTTTCATTTGTTCAGTTAGAACCAGTGGAAATGAAAACAGTGGAAATGGTGGGCTTTTGTGAAGCTTCATTTCATCCTAAGCAAGGTGATTAAGCCACTAAGATACAAAGGAGTTACTGAGTGCAAAAGAATACAAGAAAAAGAAAACATTATTAAAGAGAGAGAACAATAAAAGAACAGGAATTAAGAAGACAGATGACATATTGATAACATATTTAAATGTTTAAAGATCAAGGTTGACTGGAAAGCAAAAAGTTTGGAAGAGAATTTCATAACTGATGGGACCTAGCTGCCAATCTAGTACTGCAATTAAAGTCATAAAGTTGAGGTACTAAAGAGGAGAGCTCATCAGAAAAAATATTTATAGAAAAGGCACAGTGTAGCTATGTAAAATTGACTGAAGCCAAGATGCCAGGTCAGGATCAATAGCATTACAGATTCATCATTGGATTTTACCAAGAATCTCTAGAGACATAGCAGAAGAACCAGACTAGATTGGCAGTAATATTCAATGCATGAATAAATGGTAAATTGTCTAGCAATATACAGTGAAGCAACTTTACTCTCAGCAGGCCTAACAATTGATTCAATGTAATCTTTCCACTTCCTGCCATTGAAAAATGGGAGAATATTAGGCTGAAGGTTTAAGAGATCCCACTTCAATCACACATTTTGAGATACTATCTGTAGAAAACCATATTTTTTCCCTAAGGTATTTACATCATTTGTTAAATATTTATTCAATAATATTTTATTAAAAACCCTCAATTAATATGGTTCCTTCACTGACAGTATTGATGCATAAGGCAGGTTTGTTACTTTGTTTGTCTAGGGTAAAAATATTTAATTATGATTAATTTTTATGTGTTGGCATATTTAGCAGAATTGTATGAATGTTATGTAGTACTGATTATAAAAAAAATGAAAATTAAAACCAGACTTTAAACAAAGCTTCACAAACCTCAGGTAAAGGGAGGAACATGATCTGCTGAATATCAAGACAGACAGATAAAAAGACTAACTGCAGAATTCAAATTATTCAAGATTTCATTTTTCTTGACAAGAATAACTTATGAGAAGTGCTGATCAAATGAATTTGGCTCAGCTAAAAACCTTTCAATGAAATTAAAAATCCTACTCTTAGAAAAAATATTTCTAGAATCTAAAACCAACAAAGAGCAAAACATTCAATCATTTTTGTCAGCCGTGTACACACAAATATACAGGTTAGTATGTGCCAAAAGTCTTGCTAAAAATTGTTGTTATCTTAAAAGAGTTCAGGGAATTAATTCTTCCCATGATTTTTTAATAGGGTCCAAGAGAAATTATTCAAAATGAGTAGCTTCATTTGTTGAGAAGGGTTTTGCCATAAGTGAAAGATACAGAAATAAACTGTTTTTTTTTATTCTGAAAGACCATTTTATGAATAAACTGCATAGCTTAATGAAGAAATATCTCAAAAGACAATATTTTTTCAAGCAATGCAATCATGCCTTGATTAAGAAATTCTTTCCCAAGCCACACTGTCAGTTGCAGAAAATTATTTATGTGCAGAATGAAAACTCATTTCTAAATCTTTTGAATTTTTTTGCTTGCCAAAATCAAATTTAACTTTTGCATTTCAGCTAATAATTGAAAAGTAAAATATTTCATTGTTACACTTTACTTTTTGGTCACAGTGTTATAGGCAAGACAAGGTTTTTTGTGAGGCTGTAGAGAGAAATTCTCCAACTGTCTTATCAGAATTCAGACATGTTTACAATAATTGATGTTTTCATTTTTCAATATTAAATAATAAATTAATATTATTATTATTGTCTGCACATTTTGTTGAAATTCAATAAGCAAAATTTTAGTGGAAACCATTAAAAGATTTTCAAAGTTTGGAACAGAAAAAAAGAAAGAAAATAAGAAAAGGATTTATGTAGAACAAAACTGTAAGAAAATTTGCATTTTCCTTAGACCCTTTTCACTTATTCAAATTTGTATTTACCAAAAAAGCAGTTTTGAATTTCTCTACCAGTTCAGCATACTACAGAAATTTAAAAAAAATTCTTTATTCTTTAAATCCATGAGAAAAGCTTGATTCACTGACATGTAAATTGAGATAGAGATTTCCAAACAGTGTCAAAAATTAGAGTTCAAACCTAGGTAAGTCAAGGTTTTGAATGCTGATTTTCTAAATAGGCTGAAGAGGAGGTAGTTTTAATTTATTTGACATTGGTGCAAATGTAAAAATATAAGAGCATAAAATAAGTGGAATAAATGTTTGGTTGTAGACATTTCCCAGATTTTTCAAAGGCTTGCATTCAAATTTTGGTTCCAAAATGCTTTCATCCATAACAATTGTAATCAAAACATTTCTGGACCAACAAAGAGAGCAACAAGAGTTGAAAAATTTGTTGAAAGTAACAATACACATCACAGATTCTTCAGGTAACTTTTATTTTTACTTACCTTTTTGTTGGTTTATGAGTTCACATGATCAAAAAAAATTGTTACATATATTGGAATTTGATAAAAAGATTTTATAAGTTTTGCATAAATAAAAATAAAATAAAACTTGACATCTTAACCAACCAGTTGACAAAAGAAGAGTCTACTGAGAATTTGTCATTAATCCAAATACATTTAAACAGTCACATGAATTCTCTTTAGATTCCTGACAAATTCATCAGAACAGCTAACAGGGAAGAAACAGGAAAACATTGGAGTCACCAATGTTTTATTTGAAGTCAAAATTGTCTCAATCAATTTTTTGTAAACAGGTTTTTATAAATAATCATAAACATGTATAAAAAAGAAACAAAAAAACGTTGGCAAAATAAAAACATTGAAATGTAAAATTAAGCAACATAAGTAAAAAAAAAAATCTTAGATGATTAAAAAGTCAATCCATCATACCTAGATGCAATATTTTTATTTTTTAATAATTCTCTTGTTACATTTGAGGTTGTCTGAATTGGAGCTTTTACCAAAGGGTGTTGAAAAGTTCTCAGTCCAACCAACACCATCAAATCTGACCAAATGAACAAACATCAGAATATTTTAAGCCCTCCTCGGTCAGACAAAGAACTTTCCAGTACACACTTGTGAGTAAAGATGAAATACAAGGTAAGTAATTAGTATCTATAATTATACCTACATTGTTTTCTACATTCCAAAATTAAAAGTCGTGCATCTTGTTATTTCAAGTTGGTCAAGAAACATTTGCTGAAATGTCAAAATATTTGGCAGGGGGCACATGAGTTCTGATCAAATATTCAAAGGCAATTTGTGGCTAATTTATTTGGCATTATCTTGTAGATTGAAATAAAAAACAATAAATATACAATTCTATATAAATACATACATGTCAGTAATTTGACAAAAATATCTATTTCTACTCACACACGCACACGCACACACACACACATATATATATATATATATCTGAAAACATACACCCACCTGATCTACATAACTTGGTCAAAGTCTTTTCTCTTTCACAGGTATTGGGGTCCCCTTTTCTCAGACTTAAAATCCTTTTCTTCATGTTGGTCACAGGGTCACAAGATGACCAATCACCACGGGTGTACTTACAAGCTGGAAGGAGAAATGGCCGAGGATCGACATAGGCATAGAGGCTAAAAGTATAAAAAGTGTGGTCATTGTATTGATGGGCTGGCCACTGTCCACTGCCCATTTTTTTTTTTTTGGTGGCGCTCAGCCATGTCTCAACAACTCCTGATATAATATCACTTGCATGAAACAAAAAACACTTCTTCCACCCAAAACCCCAGAAAGTTTATTGGCAGTCAGTTAGTTTCACTGTCAAACTTCTCAGCTGAGCTGTCTGAAAATATAAAATATAAGACATTTAGGAAAAAGCAATCTAAAGTCCTATAGTATCATTTTTCTTCTTTCAGGTATCTAAGACGAATACCTGGTATTGCCAGGTAAAGAGGAGCAACGTAAAGAGAAACTGTTGGGCTCCTTTTTTTTTCTTTTCTTTCTTCTGTATTTTATAAGCCTACAAAGCAAAATAAAACTTCATGCAGACTAAATATCACTAATCTATAAGAATCACTGTATTTGGGTGCAGCAATTCTCTGAGATGCCTAGACTGCTTTCAACCAGATCCTCTATAATCACATAGCTTTTCTTAACATGTCTCTCTAATAAAAGATCAGTGAAAAAAGAAACAAATAAAGCGCAAGATAATTATTTATAACAGACAAAGTTATATGAATGAATCTTTCTATATTTATTAATATTTTTATCATCTGCTGCAGAGATTCAGTTTTATACTTTTCAGATTTATTCTTATCAGCATACACACCACACACACACGCATACATACAATTTGACACATTGTCAAGTCACGATATTGATAATTATGTTAATTGCAAAAACAATAAAATAAGTTGGTAGGTTCAGTTACTCATTCCAATTATTCATCTTAAGTAATTTTTTAAGATCAAATCAAGTGAAATTCAATTTTTGTTTTCCAGTCTAAGATTCTGAAAATTGAAAATGTTAAAATGGATTAAGTCAGGAATCTGAAGTTTTGTATAAATAATACCCAATGATTAACTGAAACCAACATGGGTATCTCAGAGAAAAGAAAAGTGTAACACACAGACACACACATTCATATCTGATCAACTTTTCTATTTTCACATATAAATAACAAGTGTCAAGATTTCTTTCTGCAACAAAATAAGCAAATATTTTCCAGAACAAAATCCATGTTCTTGGCTCTGTTTAATCAACTTTTTATTGTTTATATTTTAAAACATTCTATATGGAATTTCCAAAACACTCTCCATTTCTCCAGACAAAAATCTTCATGCAGTAAGAAAACGCATATCAGCCTGGTTGTGTTGGATTGTTTCTGTTGACAAATGACAGACGGGAAAACAAGAAAAGCTTCGATTAACTCTGGATCACACATCATGACCTTTGTTAAAGACCATCCATGTTTTGCCATGGTTTTTCTTAGAGTCAATACTAAAGTATTTTACTCATTGATGATTAAAAGAGCATTCATAAAGCAAATCTCCTTACCAGATTTTAAAGATAATGATAAAAAAAATTCTCTTTTGACTTAGATTTGAATTCGCAAAGCCTGCCAATATTGAAAGTATTTATGCCATAGCTTCCAATTGTTTCTCTCCTCTTTTAAATATTTGCCTTTCCATCCAGCTTCATTTGTTCATTACAGACAAATCCACTGACACACAATTTACCAAAAATAAATTGAAACAGTGTTTATTATTTGCAGACTGTCAATATTCAAGTCAAATACTCATTTTATTTTTTTGTTTTTAATTATTTCAGTTCTGACTGAAGTTTCTACATTTTCTTATTGAAGTTCTGATAAGAAAAAAAACTGAAAATTTTCATTCATATTACATTTTTGTCACCGTCAAGTTGTCACCATCAAGTGGTCACTGTCAAGTTGTCACTGTCAAGTTGTCACCATCAACTGGTCACCATCAAGTTGTCACTGTCAAGTTGTCACCATCAAGTGGTCACCGTCAAATTGTCACCGTCAAGTGGTCACCGTCAAATTGTCACCGTCAAGTGGTCACCGTCAAATTGTCACCGTCAAGTGGTCACCGTCAAGTTAGTCTCCACTCTTGTTGTTCTCAGCATTAAATGTCCCAACTTTGGGGGATTAAATCCATGCATTTTTCTTAACATTCTTTAAAAGCATACTTGTTCTAAACTGTGTTGTTATCAACTGAAATATCCTGATTTAACTTTATGACCACAAATCTAGTTTATTCTACTAAGTTGAAATGGTTGACAAAATATTTATAAAAAAGAAATTAATATTAAATAAATTTTAAAATGTAATTTCCATTTAGTTTTAGTTAAAAGCTCAGTTTCAAAAGTTTAAAATGCTCAATAAATTATTTTAAAAATTTCATTTTATTATTAAAAGTGGGATTTTAAATTTGGGGCATAAAAAATATATTTGTAAACTTCTCAATTAATGAATTTCTGAAAATTTAATTATTTTGGCAAGTAATGTACTTCATGAACTTTTGATTTTAATCAAATCATTCCGAATATTTTACTTTTGATGAATAAAGACTGTATAGAAAGAATGAATTGAAATTTAGCTGGGCGTCTCCCTGGGAAGAAATGCAGACATGTTTATATGGGGAGAGACATGACAAAAAGAAATAGATGCCAACCACTGTTTAATTTTATGTGCTTAACCATTATTTTTTTATCCCCAACCAAAAGAAAAAAACATTTGGTCAGAAATTTCCAGTCAGACTTGTACATTTTGGCAAAGATGTTTCCGACTTTCCCAAAGATTCTAACTTAGAAAGGAAAACATTGCAGCTAAAATTCATGAATTTGGATAGAATTTATTGATTAGCTTTTGACTGAAATTGAACCTTCAAAAAGTGATTGATTTCAAGATACATATGACTATTCGAGTGAAAAGTCAATGATTCTTAGCCAAAATGTTGTGATAAGAATGTTGGCAGAGGGCCTCTGCCAGCTGAATGATTGAAGTTGGATTCAGGCCCAGGCAGCCAATCAAGAGAGAAAAACAAGTTGCACAGAAAATAAGACAAAAGCAGTCATCTATTTATTTCAGTCTGCCTCATTCATTTTTATAGAACAGCAGCAGAAATGCCACCCAGAAAAGTAGGAAAACAGTTTTAGCAAAGGATTTGTTGATTTCATGTGAGATATTAGTAAATAATAATTTAGATTTACCCAATAACAGGCAGTGTCATTGAGTGCAACTAACCTGAGCCCTTTTTACAAGGTTTGCTTTTTTGTTTGCTGCCAGGGCATTTGGTAGGGTCGCCTTTCTTTAAAGTCATTGTCATATTCTTCATGTTGGTCACAGGATTACAGCTTGACCACACCCCCTTCATGTATTTGCATTCTGGAGAAGAACATCAGGAATTAAAAATATTATTTCTGGGATAGAGTGAAAGAGGAAGAGGAGGAGGAGGAGGAGGAGGTGAAGGAGGAGTTATACATGAATGTATGTGTGTGTGCGTGTGTGTGCACATGGGAGTGTGCACATACATGCATGAATGTGTGTGCATGTGTATGTGTGTGCTAGACAACAAAAGAAGAGAGGTAGTTTAGAAAGAAAAGGAAAAATAATAAAAGGAGAGCAAGAAATGTAGACTGGATGAGAATAGAGGAAGAAAGGAAAAAGTGCAAAAAGAGAGAAGGAAGAGAAAAAAAGAGAGAAGGAAGAGAAAAAAAGAGAGAAGGAAGAGAAAAAAGTAGAGGGCATTAGAAAAGGAGCCAAAAGATTGAAGGAATGGATGATGGAACTACACTTGTATTCTTGACTAATTTATTTGAAGTTATTAGTAGAACAGAGAATTTACAAAGTATAAATTAAAATAAAAAAACATTATGTTACTACAACAGGCAACATTCTTAGTTTCATGCAAATTGGTTGGTAAGTATAGGGTTTAGTGTATGGACATGTACATTATAGAGGTTATTAAGTTTAGTCTGTTACCTTGGGACACCTAATGAGCATTTACTGTATGAAAAAGAATAGCTTTCTTATGATTACACAATAGCAAATGCTCTTTGGTATAAAACTTATTTGTCAAACAATTATCATGTCATTCATAGCAATTTTTATCTTGTCACATGCAACAGACTTTTAGAGTTTTATCATCTTATATATATCCTTTGTTAATAATGACAGCTAGGAATCAATGCATTTTGAAATAGTTTTGAATTTGTATTTTAATAAATAAAATTAAAATTTTCATACATAAAGCAAAAAGATTTGTGAAACATTTAACAGCTTCCTCAGAACGTCATAATAATTCAGATTTATTATTCAAAAAAGAAAAAAAATATTTTTGTTAAAACACATTTAGGTTTAACCCGAACATAAAAATTAAGTCCCAATTCATTGAGTCAAGTTTAATAAATAAATAACTGTATATGTTTTTGTTTTTTTTGCCTTTTTCACTTTATTTTACTATTTCACAATCATAAGTTCACTCCAGTATTATACTAGTGAGCTACTAGGAGTTACCAGTGATTCCTAATTTGAATTGATAGTTCTATCAAAAGTGTTCACCTGCTATTTTTATGTTCAGCCATATTAAGAATTTCAATTTTATATCTGTCACAATTTAAAATAATTTCAGGCTAGAAATAAGGTTTATTAATTTCTCTGTGTTAATGTAACTATTTTTATTTAAAAATGAACAAAATTTGATATCCTGTTTGTTATCGCAGTTGTTTTAACTGTTTTAAATATCACATTTTACGATGAAACTATAACACTGGGGTGGGCTGTGACTGGGAAAATTAAGCAATAAATTCTTTTTCCTTAGTTTTTTTTTTTCTAAAATTATTTTTCTGTTTGAAGAAGTTTTTTCATATTTTGCATTTTGTCAAAAATGCATTTTCAAAATTTGGAAACCATTGTAACTTTGAATATTTCAGAGACAAATTTGGTAAAAAATTGGTTAAAATTAACTCAAGGAGTTGTATAAATATTTTGGTCAAAATTAAAAATAGTGGAAGCTTAGTGAAATTAAGAATCAAAAAACGGATTTCGTTTTTTAAATTTATGAAAATTAGAAATTATTTTATTTCTCCTCACATTTACATTTTTTCTGAAATTACTGTTACAGAAAAATAAAAAAAAAAGGAAGTGTATTATATAGAAATTTTATGAATTATTGCTTATCAAGAATTTTGAATGTTTATGTATATTTCTCTTTTATATATAAATATATATATATATATATTTATTTAAGTAACTATATATATATATATATATATATATATATATATATATATATATATATATTTTATATATATATATTTAATGATATTCACTTGAAGATGAAATGGAACTAATGCTTTTAATTTAATTGCAAAATTAAATTCATTTTTAGCTTCTATTTTTGAAACATGGTTGAACTGTGTAGCGAAAAAAAAATATTTTAAATCAATTAATTTATAATATTTATATATATATATATATATATATATATATATATATATATATATATATATATATATATATAAAGAAATCAACACCCAGAGGCAACTGTCTATTTCATGCTAAATGCAATTGGCAGGCCTGAAAAATATTGCCTCTGGGTGTTCAATATCCACTTTATATTTAGATACACTATCTCTGATGTTGAGAACTTTTAATATATATATATATATATATATATATATATATATATATATATATATATATATATATATATATATATATATATATATATATATATATATATATATATATATATATATATATATATATATATATATATATATATATATATATATATATATATATATATATATATATATATATATATATATATATATATATATATATATATATATATATATATATATATATATATATATATATATATATATATATATATATATATATATATATATATATATATATATATATATATATATATATATATATATATATATATACATATATATATATATATATATATATATATATATGAAGATAATATATATAATATATTATATATATATATATATATAATATATACATATATATATATAATATATACTTTATTACATATAAAAAATATTATATATATTTTTATGTTAATTTCAGACCAGAAACACGGTCTACCAGAAACATTTTTTCATTGTAATGTGGAATTATGTAAAAATATTAAAGTTGTTTTAATAATTTTTTTTTTTTCTGAAGACAATAAATCTTCATTAAATTACCAAAACGTATTAAAATAAATAATTTTCTTCATAAACAATTTGAGAATATTCCACATTGAACATTAATATATATATATATATACACACACATACATATATATATACACACACACATATATATATATATATGTACTATATTTATGGAATAAAGTGCTCAATATCAGAGATAGAGCGTGTGTAAATATAAAAGTGAACATAGAATTTCATGCTAGATGCAATCGTCAGGCCTGATGATTGCATCTAGCATGAAACAGACTGTTGCCTCTAAGTGTTGACTTCTATGTTCACTTTTATATATATATATATATATATATATATATATATATATATATATATATATATATATATATATATACACACTTCTGATCAAAAATTTAAGACCACTTGAAAATTTTTTTTAAAAAGACTGTTTTTCATAGAAAAGTTTTAAACATTTCTTGCTTAAGGTTACTAATTTTATAATCTAAAAGGTTATGTTGACAAAAAGTTATAATCCGTACATTTTATTGAGAAATTGACATTTTTATAAAAAGATGCATTTTACACTTGATCAAAATTATAAGACCAGAGACAAAAATTCTACGAAATTATATAAAAAGTGTATGAAAACATTCAACAACCAAATTTAATAATGAGTCCTACCTCCACTGGTTTTGATGACTTCAAATATTCTTTGGGGCATGCTAGAAATTAGTGTTTCCATTAAGCTGCAAGGAATATTGCTCCAGCTTCTGAAGATAGCTTCATGAAGTTCATTTTTTGTTGAATATTGTTTGCCATTTTGATAAACATTTCTTGCCATCTATGCCCAAACATTTTCAATTAGGTTCAAGTCCAGTGAGTATGCAGGATGTCTCAAGAGATGAACCCCATTTTCTTGTAGAAAGGTCAAGGTCCAGCATGCAATGTGGATTGCAGCATTATCCTGTTGGAATAACCATCTATCCCCATACAAACAATGGCCCTACATCACAAACGATGCTTTTTGTAGCATGCTAACATAACCAGCTGCTGTCTGACGAACCTGCACAACCTGGAGCTCCACTGTTCCTCTGTAAGAAAAGGCACCCCATACCATTAGGGACACTCCACCTTTGGAGTGGATAAAATTTCAGGAGGCATGTTTTTGTTATGCCAATATCTTTGGAAGCCATCAGGACCATCTAGATTGAATTTTTTCTCATCAGAAAACAGGACTTTCTTCCACTTCTCAATGTCCCATGTTTGGTATTCACAACAAAACCATAAACAGTTCAATTTGTGACGTGGAAGCTACCAAGGAATTTGTGCTTTTTATTTACCATGCCTTTTTGTCGTAAGTGTTGTCTGATGGTTACTGGACTGCAATCAGCATCTATAGCTGCTTTAATTTGACTAGAAGAAAGTCCACTGTCTTTCACATCAACCTGTCTTATTCTCCTACTCCTTTTGGGGGGCCTACCAATAGACTTTGTGTTTTCATAATTCACACTGTCCTTTATAAAGTTGAAAATCACAGTTTTATTGCAATTTACCTTAGCCGCGATTGCCCGCTGTGAGAAACCTTGATTATGGAAATCTAGAATTCAAGCATACTCAAATTCGGTAAGTTTGCTTGCTTTAGGCACGGTGACACTTTTACACAGTGATTGTTAATCTCTAACTGAACTAAAAACATTGGAATTAGGTTCCAGTTGTTCATTTCCTTTAGATTCCACATATGGCAAGCAAGTTTGCTGGAGTATCTAAGATTTGCTACCTTAAAAGAAGATCTATGATTATACCATTTATGCTTAAAAGACCCTTCAGTACAACCTATATACAATTTATTTACCCTAGATCTAACAATTTATATGCCCTGGTCTTTTTGATCAAGTGTAAAATGCCTCATTTTATAAAAATGTCAATTTCTCAATAAAATGTTCAGATTATAACTTTTTGTCTACATAACCTCTTAGATTATAAAATTAGTAACCTTAAGTAAGAAATGTTTAAAATCTTTCCATGAAAAACAGTCTTTTTAAAAAAAATTTCAAGTAGTCTTGATTTTTTGATCAGGAGTGTGTATATATATATATATATATATATATATATATATATATATATATATATATAT